TCCTGCCGTTACTAAGCCTCTTTTCTAGCATGAACACGACCTCGTGGCCTCTCTTTCTCTTTTCCACAATGCTGGAATCAACTTTGTTTTGCCAAAGTTTGTATTTTTCGGCATTTGACATCGAGAAAAAGAGGCATGGAGATCTATTCGCCGTCTAGTCGTGTTGTACTACTGGTTTGAAGCCCGAGCGTTTAGGTAAAATCCTATTCCCTTGTTCATCAATTTTAGTCTTTCTTTGTTGACTGATTTTGAGATTGTTTTTATTTGTTTAGTTTAAGTTCTGTTTTTTTTCTTCTTCTTAATTAGTGATTTTAGTCGTCGTTTATTGATTTTGAATTATTATGTTGTTCGTTCTTTTAGTTCTTTGTTTCGATCGGATATCTCATATTTTCTGCTAGTGGTTTGAAATTAGTTATAGATTCAAGTTTGTAAACTTCAAGTATAGTTTCTGTTAGTTCATGTTTAGCTCGTCATTTGTATAGTTGTTGTGGTTGGCGTTGTTGTTATTAGCGTTGTTGTTGTGGTTGTGGTTGTTATTAGCATTGTTGGTTAATTGTTGTTGTTGTTGGTTAATTATGGTTGAATGTCAGCAATGTTATGCTGCCATTATAGGATGGATATTGGTTGTAATTGGCAGGTGTTGTTGGAAATCTCATCCCCCCTCAGAAATTCAAAATTTCTGACCGAATTCGGTCGGAAATTTCAAATGAAATCTCTAGATTCTTGAAATTTCCGACCGAAGTCGGTCGGAAATTTTGAATTTAAATTTATTTATTTATTAGTATACCGACTGATTGCGGTCAGTTTATTACAATTATAAAATTATTATTATATATTTAAAATTCCAACTGAAGTCGGTCGCTATTTGAAAAATAAATAAATAAAAAATTTAATTAATACCGATCGATTTCGGTCGGTATATTTAGTTTGATTGTCAGTTTGTTTTTGCTTCCTCGAACGGGTGAAGAGATTTTTATTACCCATTCTTCCGGGGGAAGGGAGTTGGTTTATAACCAGACTCTGAAGTTTTCTACTAGGTAAAATAGCAATTCCTAGTTCGAATCATGGACCTGGTTCATGCTTGAAAGCAACAATTCTTCTTCCAATTTCGTATGTCAAGATCCAAATTCGAATTGGTTCCTGGTCCTGGTTAGAGACCACTGTGTTCGCATCGGCGGTCCAACAAAGATGTGGCGTTGAAATAACAGACCGTTTTCGGTCGGAAAATTACGACCGCAACACCTTAGCGACCATCATTTTTTTGACTAATTAAAAGCTGTCGGAAATCGGTCTCTTTTTCTCAAATTCCGACCGATATCGGACAGTTTTCGTGGACGAAATTAGCCAGTTTTTAAGTCGATTACATGAATTATCACTTTTTCTTTTAAACTCAACTTCTGTTATGTCGTCCCAAATAAAATAAAAGTGAAAAAATAAGTTAAATATATAGTAACGCTGGATGTATCTTATAAATAAAGGATCATTATTAAATTGCCAAGGAGATTAATCCAAGTGGCAGTTAGTACCTTGGGATTCTAAGAATGTTAGTCTTGTCTTTAATTCTACCCATTTCGTTAGTTAAAGTTGGTCGGTATATAATTCAGAGCTGTAATATTTTCTATAATTCGTTTTAATAATAATTCAACTTTGTTGTTCATTCACACAATGACCTAGTAAAATTTACAAGGCAACTTGAAAAACTAGTCTCCCAAGCAGCATAAAAAACATAAATACTTTCCTTGATTTCTTGTTAATGCCTGCATAAAAAAACATAAATACACTCTCCTGAGCTATGTTCCGATTTGATTGATGGATTCAAAAGAAAATGGAACAATTTGATTTTGGATTCGCCCCGGCTTCATGTCCTTTGGACCCTTCGCCTATCTCAGTCCATCCACAGGTTCTTATGCAAATCAGATGAGTAAATATAATTTCTTCAAACTTATGAAATGTATAAAGCTATCTATTTACATCAGCACATGATTATAGATTGTCATCATAAACAAGACAATGGGAATAGATTATTTATACATATTTAGTAAAAAATTTAATTCAAAATAGGGTATGGGCCAACCTATTGAGTTCTAACGGACCCATAAGTAATAACTTAAATAGAAAAAAGGAAAACTGCTGTAAAGAAAATAACTGAAAATAAAACAAGCAAAAGAAATCTTATCCCAAACTGCAATGATCACTCCATCTTCGTATGCGCATCTGCACAAATAACACATATAACTATTAGGAAAGGAAAATGGGATATGACAAGTACATAGGAAAATGTAAATGTAAATGTGACCAATATAAACAACAATTCAGTATAATTTTATTAGTGTATATATATTTCACACAACAAATAGTTACCTGGAAATAGAAGATATCGATTCATTATTTTATGAATCTCTTTAATGATAGTAGGGTTAACTCTTAACATCTTCCTATCAAGCCCAACCAACTGTCTTATCTCTCTCTTATATTCTGTCTGAGCATTTAATTTATAAGACACTCTTTCCAATTAAGTACATTTAATCTTTCTCCACTGTCGTCTCTTCTTCAACAAATGTCGACATAGAAACTTTCTACTTCTATTGTCACATTGTATAGTTAATATCTCGGGCCAACAAGTCGAGAAGATGGCATTGAAGTATTTTGAATATGACCAAATTGATGAAAACTCAAGATAAGATACTAAATTCTCAACTTCAGAAGTGGGATGAAAAATAAAATATGCAAATCCTGAGTTGGCTTGAAATACGTTCAAATGAAAAAGAAGGTACACTATTATGATAGGAACAGTCTAAGGAGAGTAACTTTGGCACATAAAAAATATGGTTTGCATTGAGCAATCAATTAATACTAGGCTACAAAACTCGAGATTATAATGAAGTTTTTCAAGTACCTACAGTAGTGTAAGATCAACTCCTTGACGGAAGGTAATTTTGGTATAAGATCGGAAAAAACTGTTCCATCAATGGCTGCCCTCTTAAATTCTAATATTCAATGAACGCGAATTTATTCCACCACCATATGAATAGAACCTGCGTTATCTCGGTTCAGATTAACAATTTTGGTGCATAGGAAATTTGAACTTCCTCAACTCGGCAACATAATATATTGAGATACAAAAGGTTAGCCAGATGTGAGACGACTGAATCCAGAACAATATTGAAATGATATCGTCGTGATCATTTCATTTTATTTTGCTTTTTAATAAAACGGTAAAACTATTATATTTTTATTAAATTTGTAACTTTAGTTCTTCCAGATTTACATAATTCCCAATCTCTAAATTTAATTTTGTAAGTCTGGGATAGAGTTCCATTTTGACTGTCGAGTTACATTATTTTAACTCTATTTTGACACAATAGTTTGATGGATCACCTCGAGTTCAAATTAAATTAAGTCAACACACAATTATAACTCAATCCATCTAAACTTTGGACAAATTGAACGTTTCTAAAAGATGGTGGATTTTACCATCTCTCAAGAAAATAGTAGTATTAGTTGCGAATCAACGGGCATCATTTTACCCATGAATTAAAGGTTACTCACGCAGTTGAAGGGCATGTTAGTTAATTACAAATCTTGTTCCATTTCGAATCAGTTTTAGTAAAATACATCAAGTTATCTTAGAAGTTGATCTTGGTTACTGCATCAGATTTTTGCAAAGATAATGGTCAATTTTCTGGAAATTATGTTTCACTATTCAGCAAATTTTTGTTAAAGCCAAATGAGATTTTAATGTTGACAATAGTTGGCAAGTTCCATATTTATTTTAAGATTATATTAGGAATTTTTCTTTCCTATACAATATTTGAAACTTATTTATCAAAATTCTCCTAGTTTTTTATATTACCCGCCCTAAACAAGGATTGCTTACAATTTATATACAATCTACTGTTAGTGCCTTAAATTAGGGGATTTTGTTATCCGAGTTTATAATTAAAAAATATTCAGTTGTTAAACAGAAATTTAATGGGATATAGCGTAGCTTCTTCAAAACAAAAACCATGAAGCCGTTAATAATTATTTTCATACAACATTCAAATAAAAATATATATAGCTACAACATAATACAACTTAAATATAGTTTACATACAACTATAATACAACTTTAATGCAATTTCGTAATTATATTGTATGCCATGTGTTCTTCTTCTTCTTCAATATGAAATTCAACCAAAATCAAGTTTAATCTTCACCAAATACCATGAAAATTGAGATATAAACTCCAAACAATATTCCCAATTGTTTGCAACAACACCCAATCCAAACAAATAATGGTTTTTGAAAATCCAAATTCGAATCAAAGCCTTTTAATGGCTGTCAATGCTGGAGAGTCAAACACCTTCAAAATTTATTGATTGACATATCAATTTGAACACCTATTGTGCAACATGAAAGGAAATTGCTAAGTTAAAACACTATAGTAAAACGATTGAAATCCATTGATAAATTCTATTAAAAATATATACAACATGAAAGGATAAAAAGTAAAGAACATCAGAGGAAGAAAAATTGGGAAAAGAACAGAGAATATGAGATAGAGACAGACAGAGACGAAGAGAGAGAACATGGATGGGAAATAACTAATTCCTTATTCAATTACTAATATAAGGGGATACTCATTTAAAACTAATTTGTATATAATTGATAAATTGTATATGACCATGTAATTAAGTTAAAACTTGATTAAGGAGGGTAATAAAGTTTCATATGTAGTATAGGAAGGTAAAAATCCCATTATATTATTGGCTAGAGTTCTATTGTACTAATGAAAAGAACTACTTGAGTCAATTTATAAAGGATCTAAGCTACTTTTCTATGAGTCCTTGTTTGGTTACATGCTTCTTCGATAGTGAACAAGAAGTGAAGAGACAGAGCAGAGCAGGCAAAGATAAGAGAAAGAGTAATGTAAATGGGGCTAAAAGGGATTTAGAATGATAGGAATAAATGCAATTGAGATTTAGGAGAACAAACTTAAAACCAATTTGACAACAATGAGAACTTAGTCAATCCCTTTGAGGAATGGAAGAGGAAAGAACACTAGCATAAATTTAGTTTTACAGGTCCCATTATATAAAAGTTGAGTTTTACAATCCACAAGAGACTGATCATTTTCAGTTCCATCCAGCCTCAATGTTCTTTCTAAAAGGCATAATAAACATATGTTGGCAGCCATTAATCATAAGGTATTTGAATATAAGCTGCATCACAGACAAATGGAATGTCTGCATACATCCCTGCGAGGGCGCATCTTATGCACTCTAAAACTGTGAACAGATAGGCAAATGCGACGGCGGTCCAAAAATGCATGCCAACTTTGCCCCAGTACACGGCAAGCGGCATCCAACGGCTTATAGTCCCAATAACCTGCAGGGCAATCTCAAGTAGCATCCCCATCACCACATGGAACCTAAAGAAATGAGGCCATTCCTTTCTCCTCACTACACCAAGATAAGCAACAAAGAAGTATGCCATTAGAAACC